AAATTCGTAGCTAATTAATAGTTAAAATTGTAGTTAATCTTTAGCTATTTGAAAATATTTTGTTCTAATGAAAAATAACTTTTTATGTTAGAAATTTTATTAGAAATGGTAAGATAGTTTTTACAAACTTGATATATGTTGATCTTAGTCAATGACAATCAGCATGATATTTCTCAACATTCTTGTTTTCTGCACTTGTTGTAAGCATCATAGATTTGAATAATTTGTTTTTGTGACAATTTAGCTACTAATTAGCTAGAAATTAGTTACAAATTAGCTATCATTTTTTGGTTTAGATATGATATTAATATAAAAAATTTAAAATAGAAATAATTGACACGTGGCATTCATGTCAGTATTTTTTGTCATATTGGCATTGCCACATGTATGTCACGTCATCAAAACAATTCCACATGGTGTGCCACATAAAGTCTCCGTTAGCGGAAACTAACGGGAGAGACCATATATAGGGAAGGAAAACTTTGTCAGTACCATTGTTTGAAGAAAAAATTTAGAGGGACTAAATTTAAAAGTTTGCATATTTATAGAGACCTCATACATATTTAACCATATACTATAATTAGGTGTTGAAATGAATATAATTTGATTAAGTTTAAAATTCAACTCAATCAATAGTACTCTATGCGTCTCAAATTATAAGACGTTTTGAGTATTTTATAGGAACTAAAAATGTAATAATTATTGTATGGGAAAGAGAGATTAAAAGAATAGAAAGAAGAAAGAGTTATAAATGATAGAGGGTATATTAGGAAAAAGTGATGATTGTTGTATTAAAATTTTTAAATGATTTATAATTTGGGACAAATATATTTTGTAAAGTGATTTATAATTTGGGACAACGCCATAATGGTAGTATTTGGTTTTGGTTGACTATTAAACTCGTACTTTTAAAATTAAACTAATCAAATCAATTCGCTTATCAGTGAGTTGGTTGGATTTGATTCGCAGATCACCTAACAAATATAATTTTTAAATTTTAAATAAAATATCAATTCAATTAACACATTTATTTTAGATAAACACTTAAAAATTATAAAATTTCAGTATGTAATTTTAATGAAATGTATCGTTTAATGTCTAAAAACTCTTCACACTTTAAATAAAATGCAAAAGCAAATATAAATGGTGTACAATATAATTTAAAGGTTAATATGTATTTCTCTTTAAATAAAGAATTTTGATCTCTTAAATTTAATTTTAACTTAACTTTTTACAATTAATAAAAATTGTAATTACAACTTAACTTTTTGTGGCCACGAGTGTGTGTATATATATATATATATATATATATATATATATATATATATATATATATATATATATATATATATATATATATATATATATATATATATATATATATATATATATATATATATATATATATATATATATATATATATATATATATATATATATATATATATATATATATATATATATATATATATATTGGTGGCAAAACAGGTTTGTCTCGTTGTGCATACCCGTTTTACCCGCGATTTAGTGCAGGATGGGTCAAGGATTTAGACTCTCACCCTCTAATGTGTCCATCCCACCCCGTCTCATTTTCTTCGCGGGCTTTTGTGGCCACGAGTATTTACATAAATTTTGCATTTTTAAGCTTAAAAGGTGCAGTGTCCACGGGCTTTCTCCGTCGCGCCCTCACTTTTTTGCGGAGTGGACATAGATTTTAGACTCTCGCATCCTCAACTATGACCGCCTCACTCCATCCCGTTTTTTTTCGAGCATTTTCGGGGCCGACCTAAACAGGACGGACATGCCCGTTTTCCTCTCTCTCTCTCTCTCTCTCTCTCTCTCTCTCTCTCTCTCTCTCTCTCTCTCTCTCTCCTCTCTCTCTCTCTCTCTCTCTCTCTCTCTCTCTCTCTCCTCTCTCTCTCTCTCTCTCTCTCTCTCTCTCTCTCTCTCTCTCTCTCTCTCTCTCTCTCTCTCTCTCTATATATATATATATATATATATATATATATATATATATATATATATATATATATATATATATATATATATATATATATATATATATATATCAATGGGTTTAAATTGGTAGATTTGTGTTGGACTCGTACATGATTAGGGAGAATAAAAATAAGAATTGAGTTGAGTTGGATGACTGAGTTTGCGAGTTGACCTGTATTCATGAATACACCTAATATAATATAAAACTTAATGACACGTGAAAATGCAATAAAAATTTAATAAAATTTATTTTTTTCTAATGTTAAAATTATATGAAACGAGAAAAATAAACCTATTGTTGCAAATATTGAAAAAAAAATTATTGACTATTTTTTAAAATATTTAAAAAAATATTACGGAAAGAATAGATACTTTAAAATTATATCCTCTATTATTAAACAATGTCTTATCATAAAATATAAATAAAAAAAAACTAATATTCATTTGTATTACATAAGGTTTAGTTAATATGTTTGTATTAAATATTTATGAGAAAAAATGAATAAATTCATTCATTCACCTATAAATGACTCAAACATCAATCTTTAAAATTTTAAAGTAGATTTCAAATTTTGATGTTTACATAAAGTTTTAGGCTCTGTTTGATAAAACTAACTTATAGCTTATAGTTGATGACCGTTAGCTAATAAGTTAATTTGAGTGTTTAATAAATTAACTGTTACACTAGTTGATAATTACAAAATGACCTAAAAGAACATTTTTAATTAAAAAAATTGTGATTTTATTATCTTATTATATTATTAAATTAAATTAAATTTTATTCGATAAATGTAAATGTATTAATAACAACATGCAAAACAATCTTAATATATATGAAAATTTGAAGATATCATCAAAATATATAAATTTGTATATAAATTTTATAAACTTTACTATTTAGTATGAATATATTGACAAAGAAATTCAATGAATAAACAGTAAATCATATATGAAACAAATGTATTTTATAAAGTCATTTACGAGGACATAAAAGTAAAAGTAATCTTAATAACTACAACTTTTTATCTGATTAACTCATTATTTCGTAAAATACAGGTTTTTTTTTAAATTTTATAATAAAATTTAATAAAATACGTGAATAATAACATTGCAATTTTAAATTTAGTTATATTAATCTAAAATAATAACAAATAAATTTATTGTCTAATATTTTACAATAAAACTATAATAATATCCTGAATTTTTTTACCTTTGTTGATTTCATTGATTCTCCTCACTGAAAATTATAAACACTGTTTCAATATATATATATATATATATATATATATATATATATATATATATATATATATATATATATATATATATATATAAAAAGTCATAAACTAAAAGCTGCAAGCTCAAAAACTTCTTCAAATAGCTTTTGAAAGAAAAACTAAAAATTAGTTAAAAAATTATAAACTAAAAATTAAAAGGCAGTTATCAAACAGAACTTTTAATCAAAATGAGCTAAAAAGTTAAAAGTTATAAGCCAAAAGTTACTTTTTTAGTCTTCCCAAACAGACTCTTAATTATTTAATTATGAAAATTTTAATAAATATATCTAATCATATATTTTTTAATGAATTTAGTTTTCTCTTATTGTATAAATCATTTGAAAAAATGAAATTATTGATTCATATATTTAAAAATGAAAATTTATCGACAACTTTTTTAAATTATGAAAACAATTGTGCCTACAAAACCAGTATTCTAAGTAGGCACACGGGTATGTTACCAGTTGAGATAAAAAAGGAAAAAACTATCAACCGTTTTAAATTAATTTATCAAATTAAAAACTATAAACAGATAGAAATAAGTTATAAATTTATAAAATGATAAAAAAAATTTAAATAAATCTTTTAAAAAATATAAATTTATAAACTATAAGACATAAATTATAAATTCAAAATATGGTATTTCCAAAATCATTTAGATAGTTTTAATATTGAAAGTCACAGTAAATGATAAAACATGGAGGAATCATATCCTATAGTAATAAAAGTAAAATACATTAGTTTAAAATTGTTCGTTCATTGTTAATACCTAGTTAATTAGATATGATACAATAACATCTCCAATAAAAAATCAAAGAGGATTATACATAAACATTAACTCCTATCTTGTTCTTTTTATTAATAAAAGAATTTTATGTGACTACGTGAATTTCATAAAATAAAATAAAAAAACTCAAAAAGGGGATAACAATACTCAAAAGCATAATAGTATAATGAAATTAATTAGAGTATATTGTCAGTGTCCAATTAAAATTAACTATTGTAATACATATCAAGATGAGAGAAACATTGAAAATAATTATTAGAATAATTTAATTATAATGTTTTATTTTATTTTTAATTGTGATGTTTATAGCCAAAATAATTGATTTTAGTTGAATGAGAGTGTAAAGTGACTTCAATTAATCTCTAATCTCTAGTATAATTTGCTTAAGAGTTGTATAATTTTTAACTATTGTATTGGAATCATATTTATATAGTTGTGTAAAACTGATATAACAATATAAGATTTGTTTAATAATAGCCTAAAAATTTTAAATTAATGTAGATGTTCTAAGAGTTTCAATTTTTTATTAAAATAAAAACAAGTTTCAATTTATGAAAAACATAAATTTAAAGCCAAATTTGAGAAAAACACTGTTCTGTTTGGATTCACCCATCCAAACACCAGAAAATTTGATGTTTTTTCTGTTGGGATCAGTAAAGCAAAAGGAATGTGGTTTTCAAGAAATGAGTAGGTAAAAAGTAGCTCTCTAACAAATCGGATTTGGGTTCAACGGTCCAGTCCCGATTCTCCTGATTTCATAATATACATGAAGATCCTATAATTTATTAATTTATGATGTAGGAAAGGTTAGCTTCCAGTCAAAATATGAAATGTATGCTTATATTACTTATAAATAAAATCACATATCCAGCAAAGTTTCAAAATGTCAAGTTAAGACACTACACTACCAAGTACCGTTTGCATGTGCTGGTGCAACTTCATGTGGCTGATTTAAGCTCCCTTTTCAGTAATTCCTGCAAAGTCAAAATCACAACATTAAAATGGTGCATGTGCAAGTTCGGTGTTACCGCAGTAGTGCCTAGTTTTGTAACATAAAGGGACAGTTCAAATCCCTGCCCGAGAATTTATGGCCTCATAGTGTTACATTACCGCTTTGGTGGCATAAACTGCAATACGCTCTCTCTCCTTCTTCTTGCGTTTACATTCTCCACACCAGCTAGGAAATTCTCTTTGGTATTTCTTGATCTCTCTAAACGCCGAACTACATGAAGATCAATGACGATAGTTATGCATATAACATAAGAATTTGGGTTGACACTCGCATTCAGATCAAGTCCAATATAATAAAAAAGAATAACAGCATTCATTATATTTACAAAGAGAAAGAGATATGAGAACAGTGATGCAAATACCTTCTACACCATAGAATTAAATTGATCCGATTCCCAGATATTGTAGGTCTAGCACCATGACGGTGGCGACCAGAATGAAGGACTGCATGTCCTGGAACATGAGGATAATCGAATATCTCCTGCATAGATATGTTTGGAGTTTAAAAACAAGTCAATGTGAAATTTAGATAACTTATCACCTATGTTTGGTCAACATCATCTTATGCCATACAAATGAACCCCGAAATATTTGTCCTCTAACAAAAAGGTAGCATACATACCCCTGATTGGGTCTCTGTATTCACGTGTTCATCACATCGAACACCTCGGAAGAATAGTTCTCCACCTGAAAATTGTGTTCCCAGGCAAATATTTAAGGTGACTTCTGCATCATCCACGTGGAACCCTGTAAAAATAAAATATTCTTAAATTCCAACAAAAGCATATCGAGTTAAGAGGTGAACAGTAAATTCCAACAAAAGCATATCATGTAAAATGTAATCTTAGCCCTCCCCCTTCTCACCCCTCAAAAACCTCTCATCGCAAAGCATCCCTAGGTGAAGATAAAATATCCTACTAGGCTACCAAAAAGAAATTGAGTGAAGAACGGGATTTTTGAGCAAAAACATATCAATAAAACTGAACAAATATAGAATTGTGAAAGTAAATTGATATTAGGGTACTATATATGTTCAAAAGATTATACGCTATTCCGGTTCAAAATTTTGATAAAGGTTCGAGCTAATAACAAGTTGCATAACTATGAAAGAAGTTTGAAAAACCTACCAAGTTCCACATCTCTATTGGTTCCATATTCAACAACAAAACCATGATGAGAGTCCAGTGTGGATCCACCAATTTCAGAAAAGAAAACTACAAAAAAAATTCAAAAATTTGCAAAAGTGAGTATTGTTTGTTTATCTTAGTCCTGTATTCTCATCCATTCTCTCATCCATTCTCATTATGAAAGTTATAAAAAGAACAAAACAAAAAAAACCTCGAGCTATAGGACGTATGAAATCATTCATCAATTTATCCATCATGGTTCCCAGGCCAAAATCATCAAGAACAGCACCATATTGATTCATTGTATTAGGTCGCATGATTCTGAATTTGGTCTCATGGACCCATCTTTCAAAATGATCTACCTAAGCAATCAAAACCTGATAAGAAAACACAAAACACTAATATAGAACATATGCAATAATATATGCATGAAAAGGAAAGAAAAGGAATGTGATACCTCGGATACCAACATTTCACAAAAATGTGGTTGAAATATTTCAAACGTATAAATTCCTCTGGAGGGTTCTGCCATTATACTTCTGAAACCCGCTTCTGTATTTTCTTTAATAGCTCTGAGAAATGAGGGTGCAAAAAAGTTTTCACTGAGCATAGTATACATCTCCTTATGAAGCGGCTATAAAACAAATGTGAATAATTGGTAAGATAGGGCGTGATTTGTACATAAATGTTAGAAATTCTTATATTTATGTACTAATTCCCGATTATCGTATACAAGCAAGAAGCCATGAATAATATATGCCCCCTTCAAAACAAAACCATGTTTATCCCATGATTTACAAAACAATCTTAACAAGAAACCAAAAGGATTTTCTAGCATTCAATAGAAAACTTACAGGATAATGTAATATGATTTTTTGCCTGTATTCCTTCTGCTTTTGCATCTGTTCAATCCAAAATAGAACAACCAAAATCTCAGAAAGTGAACAAACCAGGCTAAAGACAAAATAATAGGAAGAATAAAGAAACCTCACTCCGACTGTCACTAGGAGAAACTCACTATCACAAAACAGCATACGTTAGGCTCATTATATGTCATCGCCTTTTTAGGTTAACAAGTAATTCTTTTTATTACATTAACTAACTAACATATGTTGTGATGCGCGCTCAAATACATGTCAATTTGCAATTGTATTATATTTATATTTATATTTAGAGGACACGATAATTTTTAAAACTCAAATGCAACGCTATTCACGATTTCATACAGTCTAGGTTGAGCTTTATATATTGAAGTGGTCAGGCAGAGGTTTTCATCTAACTTTGAGGGAACAAGTGAACACTGAACACAACTAAGCTTAAATTTGGTACGCACAAATAATGCCCTTCGCATATATTCTTGAATAAACAAACTTGCCATTTAATGTGCCTTATATCTTGGCAGTTTGCAAGACATATAAAGAAGGAATAACTTTAAGAGTGAAAAAGAACTTCATAGATGGCTCTAGAAAATGCAACCTAGTGATGCCATCACGACAAAAAAACAATATTACAGAAGTGTAGCCAACTAGATGTATCATGTGTAGAAAATACACAAACAGGTACTTTTATTGAACAAAAGGCACACAAATTAAGTTCTTGTTTGGATAAACAACTTAATTTAGCGCCAAAAGTATAGGCACTTGTCATATAAGTTTTATGAAAAAGCAATTTGTATTAGAAAAGATATAGGCATATAAGTTATAAGTTTTTTTCATCAGTCATCCAAAAGACCTCGTAGAAATAAGCTGAAAACAGGTTATGGACGTGTCATGAGCCCTAGCACCGACACCTATGAACATAGGTGTGTCAGATGTCCAAAACGTGTCAGTGTCTGGCAACAACACAACACCAACACATGTGATTACATTAAATTTACTCAATTTTTCAAATTATTACCTGTGTCAGCGTGTCACTTATGGTATCCTATCTGGTGCTTGTGTCGGTGCTTTGTAGGTCATAAGAAACATGTTTCCCTTAACTCTCCTAAGGGATGTACTTATGTCCATAGATAACCTCAAATAAGTTAATTCAAACAACCCTAAAGATAAGATTGACATTAATATTTTTATTTTTTTGGGATAATGGCATTGATATATGAAGGAAGACAAATCTAATAACATAAGTGATTTGAAACTATGTCTTAACGAAACAGTAAACAAAAATCACAATATCACAGTCAGTATAAGCATCTACTCAGCACAAAAACAATTGAGGGAATACAAATTGTAAAATTCAACTTTCCATAATTTCCAATTTTTTCTCAGAAACTCTCAAAATCAGGCAACTAGAGTATATATATATATAATATATAACCCATCAACCTTAATGATTATGGCCAATAAATCAAAATCAAATTTTATTTAAGAAATAGAAAAATAAAAGGTTTTAAAACTCAAAAACCCTTGTGGGCAACTCAGAATTAAACCATTAGAGAGAAAAATACAAACCCTAATGCGTTCGCTATGAGGCAAATAACGGAGTAGAATGTTGGACATGTAGTGAGCTTTGAGGTCTCTAGATAGGTTAAGAATATGAGAAGGAAGATGTCTCTCGAGTGAAGTGAGGACAAGAGGGTTGAAATCCAAAGGAAGATCTTCATAATTATCAGGCATGTGATCAATTTTAGGGTTTCCGATAAGTCTGGTTATGGAATTGGAAGCACCAACAACACCATTGCTGCCGTTAGTAGCAATGTCTCCGTTGGAAGCTTGAGCTCTGCGTTCCAAGGAACCATTTTGATGGTGGTGGTGATGCATGCTGTTGTTGTGTCTTAGGGTTCACTCTCTCTTCTTCAATTCAGTTTTTAGCGAAAAAACCTAAAATTAGAACGGGTGAAGAGGGAGATTATGGAATAATTAAGGTTTTGATTGATTCTCTTATTAATATTTGTGTTTTTTTTATTTTAATTATTTATAAAATAAATAAATAAATGTTTTTTTTATTATTTTCTTACAAAATTAATAAAAGTATTCAGAAGCCATGACTCCAAAATTAATACTAATAATTTGCGGAATCATAAAAGGAATTCGGAAAAAAGAAGAAAAAAAATCAAAAATTCTACATCTTAGACCAACTTTAACGGTGGTTTTTCAAATTGGTTTGCCAGTTTGGCATTGAAAATGTCAACAAAATGTTATTCCAGCTGTAGAACGTTACAAACATAAGCAACGGTTCTTCGTTTGGTTTATTATTAAAATAATCATTTAGCTTTATTTTATTTTTTTAACTTTTTTATTTATTATAAATATAGGTTTGTTGGAAAAAATTTATATCATTCCTATTTTCTCTCCTTTTTATTCCTATTTTCTCTCCTTTTTATTTGCTCTTTAATTTCAAATTTCTCTCTCACAATTTCATCATTTTATTCATAAATATTTAATTTTTTTTCCAACAATTTCTTCTCATTATCATTTTATTTCAAATTTTCATCTTTTTATTTCAAATTACATTTGTTTAGGCCAAATTTTCATCTTTTTATTTCAAATTACATTTGTTTATGTGATGTTATTTATTTTTATTGTTTTTAATTATGTGATGTTATTTATTTTTATTGTTTTTAATTATGTGACATGTATTTAAATTTAATTTTAATTATTATTTTCAATTTTATGTTTAATTTTAATTTTATGTTTAATTTGTATTTATATTAATTAAAATTTAAATATTTAAATTATAATTTTAAATAAAATAAATTTAATATAAATAATATATTTTAAATAAAGTGGTGGGACCCAATATGGGTTCTTTGAAGTTGCACCATTGGAGTGAAAATTGAATGAGTTGCTTTAAAAGAGTGGGTCCCACAAAGAACCTAAAAATGGGTTACATAGATGAAATAAAATTCAATAATCAAAAGATGAAAGTAATCGTTTTGAAAATCGTCAAAAGACATTTGTATTTTGGTGAGTCTTAGGACTTGATTGTGGTTGCAAGAGATCATGTATGATAGTTGCTATGGTTATTTGGTTGGCTCATTCACGATGGTGAGAGATTATGTTTATGGTAGTTGTATATTGAGAGAGTAAACTCACGTGAGGTGAAAAGTCCCTTTTAGTTAGATGAGTTACAAGTGAATTCTTACCCCAAGCGATAATTGTCTATCAGTTAATAGTGGACCATCGAATCCATATCTTCTAGGGGGTTGTTAGTAAGTTATTAACCCTGACAACTTTTTAATCAAGACACATATTTTCATTGCGCGTCCCCCATATGGGCGATGGATAGGCATTTAAGACGAGGCGATTTCCCTATGGTGTTCCCATGATTATCACCCCTTCTTAGAGTTATGGTCATCCGTCTTAAATTAGGTCTTTCCTAAATATAACATTACACAGTCCCTCAAACATAAGAGCTTTTACTAAAAAGGACAATGTGCTTTTAGATGATTGCTCTCTGGTATACCCGGTGAGTAGTACCAATATGAGTAAGTCTCAAAAGAAATTGTATGGAGCCTGAATGACGGAATTATTAGTCCCTCGGGCAAGGTGTTGGCCCTCTTAGGCGAGGTTTCTATCAAACCTTCCGACTATGCCTCTTATACTAGGCTTCAATCCCACCTCTTTGGTGAGATTCGTGTGTGTGTTTTGTCTGAATCTATAAGGCATGGGGCCTTGATTTCCTGGGGAATTTCAGTCTCTCAAATGAGGTTATATGGAGCCTGGCTGACGAGACTATTGGTCCCTCAGGCGAGGTGTTGAACCTCTCAGACGAGACTTCTATCAAGCCTTTAGAATTATGTCTCTTAGATTACTTCGGTCACATCTCTTAGGTGAGACCCATGTGTATGTACCCTCCCAAATCTATTAGGTGTGGTGCCTTGACTGGCTGGGGAATTTCAATCCCTCAGACGATGTTATAAGAAGTCTAATTGACGAGAGAGTCGGTCCCTCAGGTGAGGCATTTGACCTCTCGGGCAAGACTTCTATCAAGCCTTTAGAATTATGTCTTTTAGGCTAGGCTTCGGTCGCACTTCTTAGGTGAGATCCATGTGTATGGTCCTGTCTGAATCTATCAGATGTGGAGTCTTGCATTATCATTAGGGGTAGCAAGGATATTCGGCATGAAGTATAGCATAATAAATATTTCCTTGAGAGGCATCAAGGATCTTCTTCATGAAGTCTAGCATGACAAATACTGCGTTGGGAGGCAGCAAAGATCTTCACATGAAGTCAACCATAATAAATATTGCTTTGAGAGATGGAAAATATGTTTGTCATGAAGTCCAACATAATAAATATTGCCTTGAGAGGCGACAAGGATCTTCGTCATGAAGTCCAATATAATAAATATTGCCTTGAAAGACGGTAAAGATCTTCGCCAGAAAGTCTAACATAATAAATATTGTCTATAGAGGCTTGGACATATGGAGTAAAACCATCAGAACATAATATGAGCCTGACATTTCTAGGTTCTGCAGCAAAATCAGAATGTACCCTATCAAAATGTTTTCATGCCTCACCATCAAATGGATGTCGCGTAATGTCTGAACTTGTTTTGTTTGTATGATGCCATGTCATTTGACTTGTATTGTGCATTGAAGCAAACAGTATTTTTAACCTTGGTATTATCGGCAAATAAAACACGGATTTCACTGTTATATGTTTTTGTTTACGGTTAATGGCTTTACTACGAACTTGATATCTCAAACTCTTACAGAACTTGCATTCCTCCAGCGCCTCATCATTAACACCAAACTCATTGTCATAAAACAACATGCATCCATTTATGCAACAATCAATCTTTCGTACTTCTAAACCCAACTTCGACACCAACCTTTTTGCATCATAATAACTTGTAGGCAAGTTGTCTTTCGTAGGAGTCGCATCCAACATCATTTTTGCAAAGTATTCCAAAAACTGATCAGGAACATTCCAATTTGACATTGGGGCCAATAATCTTACACACATTGATAATTTTTAATCTACCGACCCCTCAAACAATGGTGTATTCATTTATCTCAACAATTGGTAAAATCTTTGTGCTTCCTTATTCGACAACTCTTCCCCATCAAAATCTTGAGGTTCATCATATGTCACATTTACTCCAAAAACATTTTCAACTATATCATCAATCATATTAAATTGTTCCTCAAATTCCATATGTGATTGACTGCTTGATGCATGTGTATTAGTTGTCTCTGCATGTACGTTACTCGGCAGTTGTTCTCCATTATATGTCCAAACTCAATAATTTTTAATGAAACCCTTCCTCTTCAAATGACGTTTTACTTTCTCTGGGTCACTAATTATAGGTCTACATTCACATTTAAGATAAGGACATCTTACTCCTCCTTCACGTCGACAACATTCTTGAGCAAAGGCCCACATGATAAACCCTTTAACTCCTTCCTCAAAGTTTGGTGTAAGAGCAACTTTAACGCAGTGTTGTTAAACCAAAATTCTTAATAGCTTACGTTAGTAATAAGAAATTTGCATTATAGGAGAGCTGACATGGCATCTAAATGAACTAAAATTTAGTTCCCATTATCTATATAGTTAAAGTTAACTATGTGAAACCTATTATAATATTATTTAATATTAATAAAATATTCCAAATATTTCAACAACATTAAAATAAGTGTATGATATTTGAAAATAGTAACGGTCATATTATCATTTTTTACCTTCTATAAATTCTATAGAAATTTTAATTTTTTTTACACACATTTTTACTTCTAAATTTTTTTTTTCAATTTCCAATCTTATTTATTTATCAAATGGATCACAACCAATCGAATCCTTATTATAATTATATTCCTATGAAAATGTAATTTTTTTATATATTATTGTTGTGAATTTTGTATCATTTTTAATTTTATAATAAAATATATTTAATATTATTTTTAAGTTTTTAAAGTAAATTTTATTTAAAAAATTATATGTATTTTAGTTATATATTTTTTTACAAGTAATTTTTTCTAAAAAAGTATTTTAATAAAAATACTTCTATTTAATAATTGAGTTTAATAAAAATAATTTTTTTAAAAAATTAATTTTACAATTCTGTTTATTAAAAATATTTTTAAAATTCTGTTTTTTCTAATTTTTTAATAATTTCTATTTATAAACAACAAAAATATTGAAAATTCTGTTTTTTTAAACTACAAATTCTGTTTTTCTTTTAATTCTGTTTTTAAAAGATAACTTATAAAATATAATATATATTATTTTTTAATAAAAATAACACATTTAAAAAAATATATTATATTTTTACACAACAACAACCAAACAACCAAATAAATAATCTTATAAAACCTAAATAATCATATATAATCAATAAATTCTATTTTTATACAACAACATCCAAATAACTTCCATATACAATTTTATTCATATAAATCTGAAAAATAAATAATTTAAATTACATAAATACCTCAATGGAACAACAATAAAGCTTGAATCTTGAATCTTGACGAGCTCCTCTTGAATCCTCCAAATATTATTCTTTTAACAAAAAAAATTAAAAATTAATAATAAGAAAATATTAAAATAAAATGTAAAACGAAAATAAAAATAAAAAAATAAAAAATAATGAAGAAAACATAAAACATATGTTTAACTTAAAATGAAAACTTGTAAAAAAATATATGTGAAATGAACTCAAGGGTTGATGAAGGCACGAAGAATAGAGAAAATAGAAGGAAGCAGAAGGAAGGAGAAGAAATAAATGAAGCAACAAAAGCGTGAAGAGTTCTGGAGAATTGGGAATATATATAGTGAGTTTTGTGACGTGGTAAACACGTGGGAAAGTACCCACGTGAATACCACGTCAGAACATTACTATTTATTACCAGTCAATGTATTCAATGGTAATATTAAAAAAAAAGCCAAAAATATAAAATATTTCCTAGTATTTGTGACGTGATAAACACTTGGGAAAATATTTCCTAGTATTTGTGACGTAATAAATATTTTCTACTGTTTATTACCTGTCTTAAAACAATCAATACACCCAATGGTAAAAAAAAATAAAAGGCCAAAATAATTTAAAATTAACTTGCGACGTGGGAAGCACGTCGGTACACTTCCACAGCCAAATAAATATTTATTATGTCCCAAATATAAACATAAAATGCAGACCAAAATTAATTATTGCCAATTAGCGACGTGAGACTCACGTCAGAACTTTCTGACGTGTTTACCACGTTGAAAAGTACAAGATATTTCCCACTTTTTTTTTCTTTTATGTTTTTGAATTTTATTTTCCCACGTGGTTACCACGCCACAAATGAAATTCTGGAAAAATTCAAATTTCCCTCCCACGTGAAACCCAATATTTTAATTTTAAAGTCTTAATTTTTGTGTTGCAGCGTGAGTTTCGCGTCACAACTAATTTTTTTAAAAATAAATCAGCACTCACCATTATGAAACTTGAATTTGTTATGTTTATTAATAAAATAATATAGTGACGTGGTATACACGTCGCAACGTCTATTTTTTCCCACATAATTACCACGTCACTAAATCACTTAGCAAATTGCATATTTTCTTGTAGTGAAGTCTCTTGTTATGTGCTTGAGTTGTGAAAGTTTTAATCAAATGGATTGATTGAGCATAATATTGTATCATTGGGATGCAAACAAGGAAGTCTCGAGCCAAAATGTTTTAGCCACGTAAGTCTCTTGCTAGGAGTTTGAGCAGTGAAAGTCTTAATCAAGTAGATTAATTGAGCAGAAAAGTTTTGAGTCAGTGTGGCTTGAGCAGGATAGTTTAATACATAGAATTATGAGCAGTAAGTCTTGGCCAGTGGGGTGCAAGCAGAGAAATGTTCGTTTCATGTGACCTAGAGCTAAAATCTTGGGCCTGAGGGATTGAGCAAGAATGCTCAGTGCATGGAATTTAGAGTAGGGATGACAAAAATATCCATATCCGCGGATATCCGTGGATAAGATCTGCCACGGATATGGGGCTGGTAGCTTAATGGATATCCATGGATAAAATAAATGGATATTTAAATACCCGTTTGTTAATGGATATGGATATGGGTTTAATGATATCCATACCCGCGGATATCCATATCCGTTTATAAATTATAAAAATTATTTAAATATCATTAGTTTATTATACTTTATCTTTGCATCTTCTAAAAAAATTAGTCTTCTTATACTTTTTTTTTATTTTTTAATTCTTTTAAGAAAACCTTTCACTTTTCATTCAAATTCTATTTGTCATTTCATATTTAAACTCTTCGATACTTCATACCTCACTTCATCAATTTCACAATCCAACCAACTAATATCGTCATTCCTTTGTCGAACTAGTGTCTTCATTCCTACTCCTCTGTCGTCTGATCTTCCATCATTCCTCTGTCGAATCTTTTTTATGGATGTTATGTGATAATAAATTTTTGTGTCTTTAAAATAAGTTAAAAATAATTTTCTTAAAAAATAATTTTTATAAAAAAAAGTATTATCCATGGATATCTGTAAATATCTGTGGATACCATAAAACTCGTGGATTACCCGCTTAACAGATATTCACATGGATATGGGGCGGATATGGATATCATATTTATCTAACGGGGCGGATACAGATATCATAGTATCTGCCCCCATGGATATCCATTTACATCCCTAATTTAGAGCAGTAAATCTTGGCCAATGGGGTGCAACCAGAGAGGTTCATTTCATGTGACTAGGAGCAGAAGTCTTGGGTGGGGAGCTTGAGCAAAGAAGTATTAGGTGTAGAACTTGAGCAGGAAGTCTCGAGTGAGAAGCTTGAGCAGAAGTCTTGGACCTTGGGTCTGAGCAGGTGTAAAAGTCTTATGCAAGATACATAAGTAATTATAATTATGGTTTAATTATAATGAAAATCTCTTGTGAGGCAAGAGGTCTGGACTACTCCCAGTTAAGGGAGGAACCAGTATAAATCTTTGTATCTTCTGCAATTATTTATTTGCTTATGTTAATATTCCGCTGCTAAAAATTAATCAGAATCTGAACACCAGTTTAGATTCTGAACTCTGATCATATGCAAACTAATAAAATGGAAAACACAATTCAACCCCCCTTCTTGTGTATTTTTCTCACCTTCCTGAAGTTATATATTGATGCATATGAGTCGATAATTGGGAGTATGTTAGCCCAAGAAGATAATAATGGTGTTGAAAGAGCCATATATTATTTAAGTTGAATCACAAATAATGTCGAGACTAGATACACTATGGTGGAAAAATTATGTTTATCATTATATTTTTCTTGTACCAAACTCAGGCATTATATAAAATCTTCAGATGTTTTTATTTATTCACATTTTGACATCATTAAGCACATGTTGTTGAAACCAATTTTACATAGTAGAGTTGGAAAATGGACATTAGCCCTAACTGAATATTCTTTAACTTACGCGCCCTTAAAGACCATGAAATGCCAAATTATTTCTAATTTCATCATGGAGATGGCGTAAAACTATGTCGATTTCCCAACATGGAAACTGTATTTTCATGGTTCAACTCATTCCAAGGGAACAGGCGTGGGAATTTTTATTATGTGCCTAGAAGGAATCCCGACTAAGTATAATTTCAAGATCATTGATCATTGTCCCAACAATAAGACTAAATGCGAAGCCTTGATTATATGTCTTACAATATTATTATACTTAGGGACAATCAAAGTCGAGATCAAAGGTGACTCTGAATTGGTAATCAAATAATTAACAAGAGAATACAAATGCATTAAAGATAATCAGTTAATATACTTCGTCAATTCAAATTCAATGCTTAAATAATTTGAAACTGTGGATATTGATCATGTACCACGGATAAAAAACCAATAGGCCAACAATTTGGCCCAATTAACCTCAGGCTACAAGGTAGTAAAGAGAAAATTAAAGAACTCAACTGAAGTGAAATACAAACTGGTATCGACTAGCGTTATTCGACCAGAGTTGTTAACGACAAAACAGGTAGG